ATGAGGGCACCCCTCAGCCTTTCTAGTATGTAAGCTATACATGCTCTTCAAAAAGCAAACAAAACAATAATCAGACTTTTCCTCCCTCCCCATCAATGATCCACGAGTGCACCCTGCACACTCTGAAATGCCCCCTTAGTATTAGATGTGGAAGTTCTTCCACTATTGCCTTGAGAAGCTGTTGTTCATCATCTCTGGGACATTTTTGTGTAATGTCACCATGTTCCCGTTGACTGCCATCCAAGACCGTTATGTGTGCCCTCTGTGGTCCTTCAGGATGAAGGTGATATTAGTTCTGCACAGTGGTGGGTAATGTGATCTATGTGGAGCAGGAGAATGCTCCTCTCTGTTTTCTGAAATTTCAGTGAGGTCCTGAGTGAGGTGCATTTGTGTATTAACCTTTTACATATGTTATGCAGCAAGCACTTTGTGTGGGTAAAAGGCGACTAATGCCATGAGTCAAAAACTACCTAAGAGACAGAAAACGAATTAGAAGACAAATAAATGGTCAAGTATGTGCAGCATCCAGAGGTAAAATACAAGGGCTTCATGATTTCCTACTAAATATAAAGTCGATCAATACCATGATGATGAGGAAGGTGGTTCGAATGAACATGGAGGTGGCTAAGTTCGTAGGTGACTTAGTTACTTATATCTAGAAAAGACTGTGAGGAACTTCTGCAACTAAATTCAACAGTCATCGTGATGTCCCATTAAATTCATCAAAAAACACAAAATCAAGCACACTGGAAAAACTTTCCAGACTCCTTATAAAGCTCAGTTATTAGTGTCAGGGCAGGGTGAATTTTGGATGTTACTGTGCACCCCTAACTGAAGATCTTTATTTGGTGCAAAGCTAGTGTCAGGTTATGTTGTGATGCATAAAAAAAAAAAAAGGATGGGCAATAATACAGAAAATACAATAATTCCACACTGTGTTCCTTCTTGTTGCTATACTTCTGCTCTTACTCATCCTAATGGCTGTAGCAGAATGAGAAGAGTTTCAGGGCTGAGTGACAGTGGTTATGAGGAACTAGGGAAATCGATGCTGAGGGCTGGGGGCTTTCTGCCTTGGTGGGGACACGATGGATAGAGACATTCTCTGAAGTGCACAGGTGTTGTGATGACTGCAGTAATCAGAATGTACCCGAGCGCACAGAGTGAAGATTTGTACAAAATGAGAAATTCAATGCTAATGAAGTTTCCTCCCACAGTTACTGGGGGAGAGGAGATTTCTTTTACTGTGGCAGCTTGTGAGTGTTGTTCGGGAGGGCTGGGACCTGCGTTTGGACGGCGCCTGGAGAGCTGTGGCCAGAGAGCTGTGTTCAGGTGTTTGTTCAAGGCAGGCTGAAGACGGCAGTCTTCAGGAGCACGAGGAGGGTATTCCTCATACTGGTAAATGTAATTAAGGGATTTTGCCATTTGCAGTGGTATTTTGAGGCACGCGTTTCTCTGTGATAGGGCTCTAGTAAGGACAAATACCTGGCAATGACCCGAACACCGTGTTTTCCATCGCCGTGTCTGCAGTGTCAGTCGCACCGCTGCTCATTTCTGTTGCAAGTAATTTTTGTTAGTGAGAAGGAGAATGCCCCAGTCTGCGTTTAAACCCTTGGTCTGAGCAGCAGCTTCGGCAGGGCTGTGTGGAGGCAGCCGCCAGCGAAGGGCTCCTCACGCTGATGAGCACTTGGGTGCAGAGAGGCTTTGGGACGATGGGCACAGTCGGCATTTGCTCTGTCACGCAGGGGTGCTGCCGGCAGCCTGGGTCAGTTCTCAGGCGGGGTTAGGCCACTATGTTCTCGCTGATGGTTCGCAGTTTAGCCTGTGTGCTGTTCTGCTTTATCTCTGAATTAAGTGGAAGAAAATTTGGGGGTCTTGGCATGCATATGTGTGTGCGGTGATTTGGCGTTTCTGGAAGTGGTCGGTCTGCGTGGCTGTGCTCCCATGTCCTCCTGGGGACCAACTGCTGCAGCTGAAGGAAGGGAATGTGCCCAGCAGAGCTCTGCAGGGCCACGCTGCTTCAGAGTCACAGAGTCACTGGGTCGTAGGTTGGGAGGATCTTGAGATCGTCCTGCTCCAGTGGGGTCAGATGGAGCATGTTTGCCCGGACTGCGCCCAGTTGGGTTTTGAGTATCTCTGAAGACGGATATTCCGCTACCTCTTTGCATAACCTATTCCAGTGTTTGACCACCCTCACAGTAGAAAAAGGGTTTTCTTGTGTCCAGAGGTAATTGCACGTGTCTTAATTTGTGCCTTTCACCCCTTGTCCTGTCACCAGGCGCCACTGAAAAGGGAGTCTGACGTCCCTTTCTTCATTCCCTCCCATCAGGTATTTATACATATTGATGGGATCCCTCCCCCACCCCAAACCGTCTCTCTTCCATCCTAGACAGTCTTATCGCGCTCAGCTTTGACTCATATGAAAGTGCTTCAATCCCTTAATCCTCACAGCCCTTTACAACACTCGGTACTTCACCATTCGTACCCTCCATCTGCCAGCAGCTGCTGCCCCACCGCTCCAACCCTTCACCCTCCTCTTTCTTTCCTTGGGAAGGGGACGGCCTTGGGTGA